CACACACACACATATATATATGGATTTAATATGTGTATTAAATATGTATTTATATATAATTGATATAAACTGTAAGTGCACATGCACACACTCTCTTTCACACTTACACATGCTTCTTCTAAATCCCATACTCAAGTCCCAGTTGTAGATCTAGCTGCTCCATGAGTCTTTCCCTGCTTAATTTTTTCCTAGACGAATATATTCTTGTCCCCAAGTTTCTGAAGTATAGAGCCTTAAGATAAACTTCTTTTCAAACCCTCATGCACTGTTGGTGGGAATGCAGACTGGTGGAGCCACTATGGAAAACAGTATGGAGGTTCCACAAAAAGTTAAAAATGGAACTACCCTACGATCCAGTAATCACACTACTGAGTATTTACCCCCAAAATACAAAAATACTAATTCAAAGGGATACATGCACCCCTTTGTTTACTGCAGCATTATTTACAATAGCCAAGATACGGAAACAGCCCAAATGTCCACCAGTAGATGAATGGATAAAGAACATGTGGTATACATATGCACACACACACACAATGAAATATTACTCAGCCATCAAAAAGAATGAACTCTGGCCACTTGCAACAACATGGAGGGAGCTAGAGAGTATTATGCTAAGCGAAAGGTCAGTCAGAGAAACACAAATACCATATGACTTCGCTCATGTGGAATTTAAGAAACAAAACAAATGAACAAAGGAGAAAAAAAAGAGAGAGACAAACCAAGAAACAGACTCTTAACTGTAGAGACCACACTGATGGTGACCAGCAGGGAGGTGGGCAGCTGGATGGGTGAAATAGGGGATGGGGATGAAGGAGGGCACTTGTCGTGAGGAGCACGAGGTGTTGTATGGAAGTGTTGAATCACTATATTGTATACCTGAAAGTAATATTACACTGTATGTTAACTATACTGAAATTAAAATAAAAATTTTTAAAAAGGTTAACTTCTTTTCTCCCTAGGTAAAATGAGAATTCTACTTCATTGTGGTCCAACGCAATGTTTAGCGTAGTGCTAGGCACACGGTAGGTTGCCGGGTCCTTGAGCCACAAGGGAGGTAGCCCTGGGGACATGCGGTAGAACTGCCCTGCTTCTTGAGACTTCTGGTTCAAGCCTTGGATCAAGGGTGCATCTTTGGACCATAAAAGTACAAATCTCTCATAGGATTGCCTTCACTGAACCGAATTCCATTCAAAACTCTTGGTGTTTTTTGAGGGTTGAGGAAATTAATTTTCTACTGCATTTGCTGTTAAAAAACGTTGTAGGAGGACATTGCCTATCACGTTGCTCAAGGTCCCCTTATATAAAGTCCCGCAGAGGTTTTTGTTTTTGTTTTTGTTTTCTTAGTGATTCTGTGTCAGAAAAGCCCTGCTTCCCCTTCTTATCTGTCTTGCTTTGTGGGATAAGAGCACAATCACAGTACCTTTCTTTCCACTTTGGAGAACCAGGGGTTTGACTGGGTTTCCCCTCTTTGCTCTTGTAGTCAGAAAGTTCAGGTCCGTTCTAGGCTTACTCACATCCGTAATTGTTGTGTGTGTTGACAGAGATGTTTTTCTTGTCTAGATGTTCGTAATACCTTCTTAGATTTTTTTTTTTAAGATTTTATTTTTTTATTTGACAGAGAGAGAGAGCACAAGCAGGGGGAGCAGCATGCAGAGGGAGTAGCAGGCTCCCCCCTGAGCAGGGAGCCTGATGCGGGGCTCAGTCCCAGGACCCTGGGATCATGACCCGAGCCGAAGGCAGACGCTTAACGACTGAGCCACCCAGGCGCCCAATGCCATTTCATTGTATAA